GTATATATATACACACTATGCATATACGCACAGGCGTTGCAATGTGGCTGGTTCCCATCACCATTCAACTTTTTATGCAGCTTACATTCAATGAGAAAGATAAAAAACATTCAACTGGGAAGATCAAGAAGCGATAGTCTGGCCGCTCCGGGCAAAGCCCAGGCCTTTGCCATGCATATATATTTGTGTATGTATATATATACACTAATATATACTCACACAGACATAATGGGGTTATCTAATTCCAATCAACTCTTACTCAAACCTCCAGCTTATGGTTTAGCAAAAATTATTCATGCAGTGTGTATATATATATGTATATCATATATAATCATATTATATATGTATATTATATTATATCATATATATATATTGTATTGTATCATATACATATATATATATTGTATTATATCATATATATATTTTGTATTGTATCATATATATATATTGTATTGTATCATATATATATTGTATTATATCATATGTATATTGTATTATATCATATATATATATATTGTATTATATCATATATATATATACTGTATTATATCATGTATATTTATATTGTATTATATCATATATATATATTGTATTATATCATATATATACTGTATTATATAATATATATATTGTATAATATCATATATATATTGTATTATATCATATATATATATTGTATTATATCATTTATATTGTATTATATCATATATATTGTGTTATATCATATACATTGTATTATATCATATATATATATATATATTGTATTGTATCATATATATATATATTGTATTATATCATATATATATATTGTATTATATCATTTATATCATTTATATATATATATATTGTATTATATCATATGTATATTGTATTATATCATATGTATATTGTATTATATCATATGTATATTGTATTATATCATATATATACATATATGTATATATATTGTATTATATCATATATAATATATATATACTGTATTATATCATATATATTTATATTGTATTATATCATATATATATATTGTATTATATCATGAATATACTGTATTATATCATATATATATATTGTATAATATCATATATATTGTATTATATCATATATATATATTGTATTATATCATATATATATATTGTATTATATCATATATATATATAAATATTGTGTTATATCATATATTTTGTATTATATCATATATATATATATTGTATTGTATCATATATATATATTGTATTATATCATATATATATATTGTATAATATCATATATATAGTGTATTATATCATATATATAGTGCATTATATCATATATATTTAGTGTATTATATAGTGTATTATATAGTGTATTATATCATATATATATATTGTATTATATTATATATATATAATTATATATATATATTGTATTATATAATATATATATATATATATTGTATTATATCATATATATATAATATATATATATATTGTATTGTATCATATATATATATATTGTATTATATCATATATATATATTGTATAATATCATATATATAGTGTATTATATCATATATATAGTGTATTATATCATATATATATAGTGTATTATATAGTGTATTATATAGTGTATTATATCATATATATATATTGTATTATATTAAATATATATATAATTATATATATATATATGTATTGTATTATAATATATATATTGTATTATATCATATATAATATATATATATATTGTTTTGTATCATATATATATATTGTATTATATCATATATATAATATATATATATTGTTTTGTATCATATATATATTGTATTATATCATATATATATATTGTATAATATCATATATATAGTGTATTATATCATATATATATAGTGTATTATATCATATATATATAGTGTATTATATAGTGTATTATATAGTGTATTATATCATATATATATATATTGTATTATATTATATATATAATTATATATATATATATTGTATTATATAATATATATATATTGTATTGTATCATATATATATATTGTATTATATCATATATATATATATATATATTGTATAATATCATATATATAGTGTATTATATCATATATATAGTGTATTATATCATATATATATAGTGTGTTATATAGTGTATTATATAGTGTATTATATCATATATATATATTGTATTATATTATATATATTTAATTATATATATATTGTATTCTATAATATATATATTGTATTATATCATATATAATATATATATATATATTGTATTATATAATATATATATATTGTATTATATCATATATATAATATATATATTGTTTTGTATCATATATATATTGTATTATATCATATATAATATATATATTGTTTTGTATCATATATATATATTGTATTATATCATATATAATATATATATATATATTGTTTTGTATCATATATATATATTGTATTATATCATATATAATATATATATATTGTTTTGTATCATATATATATTGTATTATATCATATAATATATATATATATATTGTTTTGTATCATATATATATTGTATTATATCATATATATAATATATATATTGTTTTGTATCATATATATATATTGTATTATATCATATATAATATATATATATTGTTTTGTATCATATATATATTGTATTATATCATATATAATATATATATATTGTTTTGTATCATATATATATATTGTATTATATCATATATATATAATATATGTATATATTGTTTTGTATCATATATATATATTGTATTATATCATATATATAATATATATATATATTGTTTTGTATCATATATATATATTGTATTATATCATATATATAATATAGATATATATATTGTTTTGTATCATATATATATAGTGTATTATATCATATATAATATATATATATTGTTTTGTATCATATATATATATTGTATTATATCATATATATAATATATATATTGTTTTGTATCATATATATATATATATTATATTATATATATTTAATTATATATATATTGTATTCTATAATATATATATTGTATTATATCATATATAATATATATATATATATTGTATTATATAATATATATATATTGTATTATATCATATATATAATATATATATTGTTTTGTATCATATATATATTGTATTATATCATATATAATATATATATTGTTTTGTATCATATATATATATTGTATTATATCATATATAATATATATATATATATTGTTTTGTATCATATATATATATTGTATTATATCATATATAATATATATATATTGTTTTGTATCATATATATATTGTATTATATCATATAATATATATATATATATTGTTTTGTATCATATATATATTGTATTATATCATATATATAATATATATATTGTTTTGTATCATATATATATATTGTATTATATCATATATAATATATATATATTGTTTTGTATCATATATATATTGTATTATATCATATATAATATATATATATTGTTTTGTATCATATATATATATTGTATTATATCATATATATATAATATATGTATATATTGTTTTGTATCATATATATATATTGTATTATATCATATATATAATATATATATATATTGTTTTGTATCATATATATATATTGTATTATATCATATATATAATATAGATATATTGTGGTTTGTATCATATCTATATATGGTATTATATCATATAATATTATATAATATTGTTTTGTATCATATATAATTGTATTACTATCATCTATAATCTATATTAATTGTTTTGTATCATATATATATTTATTATATCATATAGAATAATCTATATATATTTTGTTTTGTATTCATATATATATATATTGTATTTATATCATATTATAATATATATCATATATTGTTTTGGTATCATTCTATAGATATTGTATTATAATCATTATATCATATATATAGAATATTGTTTTTTTCAGATATATCATTGTATTATACATATATATAGTATATATAATATTGTTTTGTTCTATATATATATTGTATTATATCATATATATAATATATATATATATTGTTTTGTATCATATATTTATATATTGTATTATATCATATATAATATATATATATATTGTTTTGTATCATATATATATATTGTATTATATCATATATATAATATATATATATATTGTTTTGTATCATATATATATACTGTATTATATCATATATATAATATATATATTGTTTTGTATCATATATATATATATATTGTATTATATCATATATAATATATATATATATATATTGTTTTGTATCATATATATATATTGTATTATATCATATATATAATATATATATATTGTTTTGTATCATATATATATTGTATTATATCATATATAATATATATATATATATATTGTTTTGTATCATATATATATATTATATTATATCATATATATATAATATATATATATATATATTGTTTTGTATCATATATATATATTGTATTATATCATATAATATATATATATATTGTTTTGTATCATATATATATATTGTATTATATCATATATATATAATATATGTATATATTGTTTTGTATCATATATATATATTATTATATCATATATAATATATATATATATATTGTTTTGTATCATATATATATATTGTATTATATCATATATATAATATATATATATTGTTTTGTATCATATATATATTGTATTATATCATATATATAATATATATATATATATATATTGTTTTGTATCATATATATATATATTGTATTATATCATATATAATATATATATATTGTTTTGTATCATATATATATATATTGTATTATATCATATAATATATATATATATATTGTTTTGTATCATATATATATATATTGTATTATATGATATATAATATATATATATTGTTTTGTATCATATATTATACATCCCTGGTATAAGTTATACACCCTATTTATGGCTTAGGATCTACAGGGTCCATTGGCGCATTTCGTGACCGCGTCCTCCAGCAGAGTGGCCCGCACCACGGCATCGGTGTTGGCCACTTGCCGACAGAGATCGCCTCGTTGTCCCGGCCGCGGTCAAAGTTCGGTGCTCAACAAGAGGTATGATGTACGGTATATGATACATGATATATGATGTAATATGATGTAAGATGATGTAAGATGATGTAAGATGATGTAAGATGTCATCTTTCAAGCTAGTCAGGCTTTGGTGTATCATTAAAACTAACGGCCAAACTTGCTGACTTTGTTGAATCTCATGGATACTTTCAACTAGACCCACTTTTCGGTGTCGAAGCCAAGGAGCAAAGGTAAATGGCAGAGACAACGGACAAGGACTCCAAGCGTTCCTCAGGTGATCCAGCGCCAAAATCGATGGATCCCCAAGGGCCAAGGCTGCCAAGGGACGTAGTTGAAGATATGCCGGTGAAAGCCACATGCCATCAGCATACCTCGGCAGGAAGTGGTGTCATACCCCCTTCGAAGATCCCTCTGAGGCTCGAATTTTGATGTTCATCCACAGTCATAAATCACCCAGAAATGGTAGTGTTCACCTCAAAAAAAAAAAACAGTGTTTCTCAATTCTTGGGGTGTTAGCGACAGCTTACCCGGTTTAGGAAACATTATGGAAGGAAGGCTTTGGGCCTCTGGTACTCTTCTTTGATTATGCAACTCAATATGCTGACACAGTATCCACCTGAAGAACCTATGATCATACCATAGGAGTTTGATCTTGGCATTGCCAGTCCAACATCACCATCTCCCTACACCGCTGGTTGACCCATACCGCCCATACCGAGGTGCTGCCGCTTTTCCCATCCAGCTTCACCTGCGATGGTCGCTGAAGGAGCACAGATCCACCCGTCAACAAGGGAAACTCAAAGGTCTGTTCATCAGAGCCGCTCAAGGCTCAGAAATTGAGGCATGTTCTCGGCATCAAAACATCAAAACCGAATAGTTGCAGTCTTGCAACATTGCAATGATTCATTTGTCCCTTCGTGTTTTACGGCTTCGTCAGGGGTATGCTAGCCTGAGGAGGTTGAGACAAGCAGCAGCCGCAAGTTGTTGTTACTAGCTGTTCTCACAGGTCTGTGGATCATATGCCAATCAAGAAACTTCGGGGTTGCCTTCAAAACACACCTACCCAATCAACAATACAAAAACAAACAAGTTGCTGGTACAGCCACAGCCCCACTCATCAAAAATCGGAAATCCTCCAACCGCACCCCATCGGCCGATCCAAGCGGCGATGTTGTGAAAGAATTGCATCAGGTAATCCACCAGCACTGGATCTTGGGATTTGGATACTGCCTCAGCATGTTGATTGGTTGCATCCCACAGGAGGGGATTGGTTTCACAAACTTCGAATGCAACTGGTTTGTCCACAGTTCCTGTGTTTTTTCTCAGATCTAGACTTTGGTCTCAAAATGTCTCAGAAACATTTTCATTTCCAGCCCCAAGCGAAGCAACTTACTCTCAAACGACCTGCAAAAAAAACAAAGCAACCAACATATGTCTTCACTAGTGCTATCAAATCATCCAATTTGGGGGTAATACACTTCTGACCCCTTCTCAAATATGCCACAGACATGACATCCACATGGCCAAGTTGCAATACTCAAGGATTCCAAGTAGGGCTTGGATGCCAATTTGGACTCAGCAAAGCCCAAGCACTTGCCACAAGATTGGGTATGGGCCGTATTTCATGGCAATGATGGTGAAAATATGAGAAAAGGATAGAAAAGGAGCTTTCGAATCCCAGGATGGAATGGTTATCCCTATGTTCAGCTAGATCAAAATCATTGCTTGGAATGTGCTGCAAACTCTGCAGTTTAAGCTGTGCCAACCTGCATCGGCCATTTTCTGGCGCGGTCAACGAACAGATCCTGCTGGCCTGCACTTTTAGAGCAGCCAGGTGTTTCACTACTAACCTGCACGCCCGGAGGGTCCAAGAGGAGAAAGACCTGCCTCACTGGGAATGGCTTGAAAATGTCCATGATGCCGAGGCTTTTCTTGTTGCGGGGTGTCGCTCTGGCAGACGTCAAGCCATTGGTGTCTTAGCTACAGAGATCCACATTCCAAGAAACTCCAAGATCTTCAGCCATCCTCGAAGGGTTCCCCTGAAAGATGGGACAGTTTTTATAGTTTTTCCCTTGAGAACTTTGATGGTGATTTACTCTTATATCTATTGAGATATGTGGAAGCGATGACAGTTCTAACTTGCACTTGTACAACATCACGGCTGTGGTTGAAATGGCTTGCGGGCTTGTGAAAGCCGCGGCAAAAAAGTGTTAAGGACTTTGCTCGTTAACTTCTAAGCAGGTGTAATTCAAATGTGCCATGGTCGGTCAAACCATCCAAACACTTTTGGGGATTCCATACATGTTGTGGGGTCCAATTTAACCCCGGCTGTGACGCTCCAAGTAAAAAACAGCATATACAATATCTATGTGTCCAGCACAAACGCTCATCCACTCCATTGTGGTCCAGGATCTCTCTCTCCGGTGCCCTACAGCTATTTACAGACTCGCTCTCTTGCCAGCTGTTTCTTCGCCGTGTGCCCATAACTTGCAGGAGAAAGGTGCCAAACAGCCGGGAACCACTCAGAGCAGCTGCTGGTCTGATTCTTGAAAATCGCACAGTCTTTCTCCCTCCCCAGCTGTCAACCGGGTCAATCCGAAGTGTTTTTTTAAAGGTAAGCTAACATTCTCATGATCTCAGGAAATCCGGGTCGATCTGTGGATTCTTGGGCCCAGCAGACCTGCATCCTCGAGCGAAAGCCGATAGAAAAGGGACGGGACATCTACAGCGCCAATAGAAATTTTAAAAAACTCTACAAATTATATAAATAGAAATGAAATTCCCTTTGAAGCAAAAGATCCTGATGTTCAGCAAAAGCTATGCCACCAGCCAGCTCTGAATCAGGCGCCAAGTGTCACATTGACGAGGTCCGGCGGTGTGTCGGGCGGTACAGCATCCATATCAGGACGAACCTCGGGGAAGCACCGGTGAACAGGTGCCAAAATAGCTTTGAAAGTGGCAAAAGCAACCAATCTGAAGGGATCTCAAGGGATATGGTCGATTAAACCAATAACCATCAGGATGTATACAGTATATAAACTGTATCTGAACTGGTGGAATGATTTGAGGGCCCTGCAAGTTTGGGATACCTCCAGGGGGGTCTCACAAATTGTTGAACCCAATCCCCAAGACTAGAGCAGACCAAAGAAAACAAATGACATGTCTATCCAAGATCAAAATTGCTGAATAAATCAGCACCGTCAACACAGCACGGGGCACCAGCGTTTTCGACGAGGGGCACCAGCCAGCGTATACTTACCCACATCGCCGGGTTCTTCCTCTTCAAAAGGCACTTCTCGACAAACAATCTCATAGATGACCATGGCGTAAGAAAAAACGTCCACCTACGCCAGGGCAGGACCTTTCAACAAATTTCACAAAAGGACCTGAGTCCGCCTTCAGTATCCTTCAGTGGTGTTTGGAGCGAAGTTACATTAGTTACATTAGTTACATCAATCCTGCCAAAATGTTCTCCGAATTTCGCCAGCCCCTAAGGTCATCTCCCCCCCCCATATGGGCACCTTCTCATCATATGTGGTCCCTTTCCACATCTCAGGGGCCATCCAATGCTTGGTGCCTCACAATCGAAGCCAGACGCCAGGCTATCCAAAGCTGCACCAACTGATGGCTTTTTTCCATTGAAATATGTCAAGTCTTCCCATGGGATGTTTGGGGATGTGTGGTGCTCAAGCCACCACGTTCTCAGTTGTTGATCCAGTGGATCCATCCCCAACCACCAAGCCATCGCCGAGCCATCGCCTGCTTGTGCAGTCATCTGTCCCCACTCGCCTTCTCGTTGCCTTGGCTTAAAGTCTATCACCTCCCCGACCCTCAAAACAGCGGGGAGTGGCTAAGAATTTGAATCACACTACCGAAAGCCAACAAGAAGACAAACAGGAGGAAAAAGAAAAAGACGAAGAAGGAGAAGAAGGAGAAGAAGAGGGAGGAAGAAGAAGAAGAAGAGAAGAAGAAGAGAAGAAGAAGAAGAAGAAGAAACGCAAGCAATAGAAACAAAGCGAACCTGGGAGGACTCGAACCTTCGCCCCTTTTCCCACGCCCCTAGATTCTAGGTACCCAAAAGGCCACGAGCCGCCCTGAACTCCGCCGAGAGTCAACTTGGCAACTCCAAAGTCACAGACCTTCACGGTCGGTACATCCTTCATGGCTGGGGCTCAACTGGGGATCCCCTGCCACCCAGCACCAGCTGTGGGTGAAGAAAGGAAGTTTGGGGGACCGTGTGCATCCCATTTTGAGTCGGAATCTCTTGCTTCTATGAAATGAGAAGCTTGGAAGTTTGGGACTGCTCAAAATTGTTAGGGTGGCGTCCAGCAATACCGGCCACAGCCCCAGTGCAACTCAGTATCTCTTGGGCCATAGACTGGTCGATCTAGCAGAAGGTTCAACCTCGGCTCCCACCGCACTTCTGTTCAAATCAAACATGGCCTTGGAAAACCTCTGCAAAGCATAAACACAACCGAGGCCCGAAAGTGTTGCTACATCATAAGAAAGCCAACTAATCTTTGGCTGCAGACTTACTAAGAACAGAATCTTAGGGTCATCAGCTTCCAGTCACACCGCGACCAGGGACGATTTCAAGTCTCGGTGAATGATCATAGGATCAAAGGTGTGCCTCACTGGGCTGGAGATCATCTGCCATTTCTATGAATTTGCCGACCCTAGGAATTTTACCAGGCGCTGTAAATAGGTCTTTGGCTGAAATATAGTTTGGGTTGGATGAAATGCTGCCTGTTTCTGACAATTCTGAGACAGTAGAAGGGGACGGCATACCGCAAAACCAACCATTTGCAAGCATAGAACAGCCACCTGCAGATGTACAAATACTTAATGCTTGAACTCGTCCCACATATTCGGAAAATATCATTAGATATCCTCAATCAGATACCTCTTCCCAAAGCAACTTTGGCAAGGGGCAAATAGTACATGGCAGCTGCCACATCTTTGCCTCATCCAAGGGTGGGAGAGGTCGGCCGAGGTCTGTCAGAGGTATATCACCACCCATTTATGGCCATAAAATTGGCAGAAAATGATGATAATCCACTGGAATTGACTGTACCCCATTTTCAGACACACCCTTCTTTGTGACACACTGCCTGCCACTATATAAAACACTGTTCCATTCATCTGACTCCCCACAAAATACATCGGGCTTTCGTTGAGCATGAAAACCTTGGGGTTCGGTTGAACCTTTCCCCGCTCCTTGAGGCCAAATGAACTCCAAGGCTAAAGAGAGTCTCCAGTTCTTTTCTGACCTATAAATAAATTGGGATGTGGCCTAACCATGGTACTCTCCTGAACAACAGGACCAACAGTCCAAAAATCCTGTTGAACAATTTACACATCAAATCATCAAATGAGCATGTTCTCCCATTTTTTTGGGCAACACTTAGGAATACCTGGATACCAATTTTTTGTTGGCCAACCAGAGGTTCACCAAGCGCGCACCAAGCGGCACATTTTAATCTGCTGTGGCCAAATGAGGTCCACATCATCGGAGTTATGGAGGAGTTCGAAACAGGCGCCACCTTCACCTTGGGTCCGGCCTTCCCACCAGGTGCCATGGATGGAAATTCAGCTGAATTGGATATGAATTGGATATGAATTGGATATGAATTGGATATGAATTGGATATGAATTGGATATGAATTGGATATGAATTGGATATGAATTGGATATGAATTGGATATGAATTGGATATGAATTGGATATGAACTGGATATGAACTGGATATGAACTGGATATGAACTGGATATGAATTGGATATGAATTGGATATGAATTGGATATGAATTGGATATGAATTGGATATGAATTGGATATGAATTGGATATGAATTGGATATGAATTGGATATGAATTGGATATGAATTGGATATGAATTGGATATGAATTGGATATGAATTGGATATGAACTGGATATGAATTGGATATGAATTAGATATGAATTGGATATGAATTGGATATGAATTGGATATGATGCTCAGAAACAGAAACAGGTTTTCGGGAATTAGCACATGTTGCCAAATTTGGCACAGACTCTCACATTTTGTTTCATGCATCATGCCACAAAACGCTTCAAGCGGTCTATGGTTGTCAGCAACTGAGCCAAGTGGATCCGAGTGGCAGAACTCGGTGACAATGCGCAAAGGTGGGGAATCAATGCAAACCCCATAGAATCTCACCAGGTTCTCATGTTGTACCTGGCTGCGGGCCCTTACTACATAGGCTAGTGACTGGTAGAGTATCTTTGAGTGTCCCAAATCGTATAATACATCGCATATATAGACACAGACAGTGATACTAAGTATGTATTTTAATGTATTTTACATAGCAAGATAGATAGATAGATAGATACATATATATATATATATTATATACAGTATATATGCACCATATATATATATATGATGAGGATATACCCCATGATTATATCCGAGTTCCCAGGGGTTCATCCCATCACCGCCTGCGTGAGAATGTTCAATTCTCTGGCAAAGGCCAACTGCTCGTCCGGCCGGATGGCACTTCGTTCAGTGATCATTTTGATGGCCACCACCTGCAGCTGAGGATGAGCATTGCTGGGGATATAGCCTGCAAACTGGGGCTTAAACCCTGGAGATTTCAACATTAACTGGGATAATTTTTGGACTCTGAACATCTGATGCAATTGAGATCAAATGATATGTCAGGTGCTGATTATCAGCAATCACCTGGTGGTCAATGCCCTTCTCTTTTTTTCAAGCTACCTTCTCCCACCAACTCTTCAGGCTCATCACCATCTTCCCAGCATTTCCCAACCCAACTCCGCCACCAAGGCACCCTGCCGATGCGGTTCCAATGTCCTTGGTAAACCTCCGAGGTCACCCCACTGCCGATGCATTTGGTGGCGATCAGCTCACAGCTGGGGATCTCCCTCTCAGCATCTACATCTAGACCTGCGGCGCCAATCGGAAAAATTTGGGGCGAAAATGAGGAACCCCTATGAACCACCAAAAATACCACTATGAACCACTGGATTTAGAGAGGTCCCAACTCATTTTCCCCATGTCACTTTTGATCCTGGACCTCCATGAATGGGTTACCTCCGTGACCAGATGTTCCGAGGTCCCAACTCATGGCGGAGGGGCCGAACAAAAACGCCGGCGCCCCCGCGGCGAGCCAAGGAAGCTGCGGAAAGAAAGCGCAATGGGGGTGGGGTTTTCCGCGAAAGATGGGGGTCCAACAGGGTATCCCTTGAAATGATCGGCCCAACAGAAAATGGGAAAGTGAGTGTCCGACTGTGGCTCTAGAAAATCAATGTTTCATAATTTCATCCATGGAAAATCCTCACTTCCATCTGCTTTGAATCTCCGCCTCCGTCGTTTTGGTTTGGCTCCAACCTACCCCAAAACGATCACCCAAGGGGTGACTCAAACCATCCCAGCAAGTCTGGTGTTCAAATCAACAACCATCACTGACCATCACCCCCAATGGCCTGGGTTCCCCCACCAGATTCCCACTGTCCGAGGAGGCATTGGCGATAACCAACGCTGCGGCGCGACGGATGTCGATGTTCTCCTCGGAGTTGACGATCCTCAGCAATGGGCCCCTGGAATGCCACGGGAACCAGCCGGACATGGATCATGAAGCTGTAAATGGGCTTACAAATGGTGTTTGTTTGTGATGAGAAATGCTATGAATCATGAATGAGGTTGGAAATATATGTAAACATAGATGTAAAATTAGCCGGATCGACTGGATTTTCAACTATGACAAAGCGTTCACCTAGTTACAACTGGGATCATCACTGCATCCGGACGTCCCAAGGTGCGTCTGGTGTGTTTCGCTGGTGACGAACCCACTTGGCGAGACACCACGTTGCTCAAAATGAAGCGTTTTCCACATTTGTTTCCAGACAAACTGGGCCCTTTGGAACTATCCTGAAATCTTGTCTCGCATATCTTAAACAGTATCGCCTCTCCCATACACACTTTGCTGCTTTCCATGTCAAACGGAAGGAGAACCAAAACTGAAAGCGACAAGTCAATCGGATCGTTTGGTCTCTTAGGACGGTCCAGTGGTAAATTCTGCTGATGTTTATATAGTTGCTCTGTATACAGACAAACCAAACAAATCTTTAGCTATGACGATCGATATCATATCATCTGTCATATCATATCACATCACATCACATCATATCATATCATATCATATCAAATATCATATATCATATATCATAGACCATAGATCATAGACCATATATCATGTATCATATACCATACATCATACCTCATAGATCATAGATCATATATGATATATGATATCAACCAGGTGTCTTATGCTTACCGTGTCATCAATAGATCTTCCCCCCAACCACCTGCAGTTCAGTAGCAGAAACATCAGGTCGATGATGTCGCTGGCCTGAGGTTTAAAAATGGTGCCCTTCAGAGCCAAGAACTTCCGCGTGGTTTCACAAGGCAGAGATCATGAAATGGTTGTAACATAATAGAATATAGATGGTTAAGAATATCATGACAGGTATATATATATATAACATAATAAACCAATGAGGTTTATAGAATATATACATATTATACCTGGTTGGTGGTTTTAACCATCTTGAAAATATGAAAGTCAATGGGAAGGATTATCCCATATATTATGGAAAATAATCCAAATGTTTGAAACCACCAACCAGATACGTACGATTCGGTATGATATGTATCGTCTTGGATCAAGTTCACTATATACACTTATATAGTCCAACACGATCCAACTAGTAAAAAGTCCCAGCTAGCTTCAAACACAGACTCCTTTCACACAGACAAGCGGCCGTTGGAGTTGTGGGATGCGTCGCACAAACCTGGGGCAACAGGTGCTTCACTGCCCACCGCCACGATGAGTCTCTGAGTTTTCACAAGTGCTGGTGGACTATAGCTGTCATCATATTATATATATATAATATATTCTATATTATATATTATATATTATATATTATATTATATTATCTGTTGTCATGTTTCTGTCATGAAGTTAAAAAAAGGCAAGCAGCTGCCGCCATCATCTGCAGCGCATTGGTTCGCCTTGTTGCTGTGATGAGTTTTCAGCATTCCCCCAATCCGGATGGCTAGGGAAGACCGGTGAATGATTTGGCAGTGTGTCAAAACCTTGTACCCCTGGTGAACATCAAAATAGCTGGGATTTATGGATGTTCATCCCACTAAAAATGTATCTATAGGTATTGACCCATACCCACCTGTGAATGATTTCTTGTGTCTCAGGTTGTAGGTCTGACCTTGACACCATCAAGGTTTGCCAAGAGAAGTTAGCATCCCCACGTCACTGGGATCAGCACATTCCAATGCTCAAGCGCTGGGTGAGTGCAATGGGGCACACGTTGGCCATCGCCTCATTGTGAGGAGGCCACAATAGGCCACAGTAAATTTCTGGGGGAGCACCTGGGCCACCTTCGACCGGAATTGAACACAAGAAAATGGATATGACACATCATTAAACCCCCCAAAACCTCAGAAGAATAGGCATGAATGGGCTATGTCAGGATGTTGACCAGTTTACCTCCATGTTTTTGACCCACAGCACCTTCGACCGGTCTGGCTGCAACCAGGTCTCTCCAGTGGTGAGGATCACATGGTGATACTTGGGCGACAGGCTCAGCTGCATCAGAGCCCGGATGACGTGCCTAAGCAGATCACCATGCCATGGATGGGGCGAAAGAAGGATAGGATCCTAGGATGAAAATGATTCGCCACTTCACCATTGAACCCACCAAAATGAAGGGATGGGATAAGAAAATCTGTAAAGTCTGGATTCAAGATGATTCAACATGAAATTCTTTCGCAGCTGCTCTCAGCTGCCTCCGTCTTCCGAAATTGGCTATTGAACCGCAATAAGTTCCAAGTTCTCCGCACGTGTTCCTAGGATTTCCTAGGTATAAATTGTCTGTACTGGTATGAATCAAAAGGAAGTGGATGCCTTCTGTGGTCATCTCTCAAGGGACCATGCAGTCCTTCAAGTATATCAGTCCTAGCACCCTGAGATATTCAGCAGCGTGGACAGCTCAAACGATGCATTTACTAAGTGAGTTCACCTGTGCAACTTTAACAGTGTTCAACCCAAAAAAGTCATCATAAAGTTGGATTATTGGTGTAATACGATGGGTTTACCACATTCTAATTGGTTGATGATGTGGTAAACCCTACGTATAATAAACCATCCCATCAACCAAAAAAGGTCCGTTGGGAAGATGCTGCTTCCCCGCCAAGCTGCGTCTGCACCTGCCAGCCGGGGAAGTTTGGTCATGATGATGTCATGATCATCACTAAACCATGAAATCTATGAGGTTTTGAGATTTTCCCAGGGAAAATTTTCTGGAATGGAATATCCACCACTCATATTCTATGGTCATCAGGCCTGCCAGGTCAGTCATCATCTCAGCTCCACACGTTGGTGTTGTCGTTGTGGATGTGTTCCGTGAGGACTTCGAAAAGGGGCGACTCAACCTGGGCGCAGAGCTGCCCAACGTCGTGTGTCCGGCGAAGTGTCAGGTCACAAAATATTGGGGGTTCGGCCGGTTGAGTCTCCAAACCAAGGGTCATTTGGGTTCCGGGACGTGGTTTCCATAAGTGGATTCCTTTTGAAAGATGCCCTGATTCCTACTAGCTAGGAGGTGCCACCCACTTTGCTGTGCTGAACGTGGAAATGATATGTTTTTGTAGAAGGTGGCAGAAAGTATGGCCATGGTGGTGACAATGCACAAGGCAGGTTCTTACAATGACAAGGATAGATTTGTGCCATACATTCGCAGGACCAAAGCCAGCATCATGCCCATAGGCCCATATCATCATCCCTCCCGAGTGACGATGCGATCATGTAGATCTACACTTTCGCAAATGTTGGCAATGATGGCAATGCCAATCGGAACCTTAACAGGAAGGCGACCATGCATGATCAGTGTATCTTGCATTAAAACTTCAACAGAAAAGCATTCTATACAAGATCTGTGGAAAATGGAATCGGAAAGAACGCCGAGCAAATCGAAACTGAGTATCAGACATATTCCACATGGCCTGTACCTCTTCCAGCCAACTCAATGACTTGAGCCACCTCCTTCTCCATCATCAGCCCTGGTTGGTCCATAGGGAAACCAACAGGGGCACATCACAGGACTTCGTTTCTACGTGGACCGCAACGGCGATGCAGACCCTGCCTGCGTTCTGCTTGAACATCGAGAAGTGAAGGAGCAAATCCATGGACAGCGTCTTCAGCGCTTGGGGATATTGACCTGTGAATTTTGCATGTAAATCCATGTCTCGAGGGAAAGGAAAAGGATGACATTCTTAGGAAATCTCAATTTTTGTGTAAAGACGCACCCATTCCCAGGTCTAGCCCAGCCGTGAGATGACATGTTGGGAAATAAGAGTATCACTTCATACAAGAATATGACGAACTGCTCGCCAGAAGCACAAGCTACAGTTTCTATGGATTCTCCATTGCCATGTTCATCTACTGGAGGCTACGCCACCTTCAGTATGTTGCATCAAAGATGCCAACCTCCTGCCAGTGTCAGGCATTATTTTTTACCTCACAGATTCCATCAGAAAGATCGACCAAAAAATCAGCCCAGAGATGCCAAGAGACTGTGGTAAATGCCAATGAGCAAAGGCACCAAACCTCAGCCCCCCAAAAAGCAACGCGTTGAAACGCTGGGCCAACCGACCAACCGACCAAGGCTGCGACCCATCGATGGAAATAACTCTTGAGCCTCCGTCTCAACGGCCAATCCCCGAAGAATCGCCAGGGAGTACGACATGATGGTCTTGTTGGGATCCTGCCAGCAGGAAAATCATCATGGTAAATGGTATTTTTGATGGGAAAATGATGATGGACCAGTGGGTTTTAGGGCAGATCCGATGACTCATATGAGTCAAATGGATTCAAACAAATTCGAAGAAAGGAGTCTAGAGGTGAATATCCAGTCAGTGCAAAGAAGTCTGTTATCCATTTTCCGCTACCATGCTCTGGCGACCAGTGTCCTGCATGTAGCCCCAAATAATCTCATAGACCTGTCCAGCAGCTTGAGATCAGAGCAGAATACTGATGGGTTTGGAGCTACCCGCAACGCCGGTTTCGGAAGCCATCTGCCATCTGCTGAAGCTCTTCTCAGCCGTCAGAAATGCTGTTCCACTCATCTGCAAATTCTGCTTGAAACCAAAAAATCACCGAAATTTGCTGCCGAATTCCCCCAGCCACTGCCAGCCATTACTGGAAGAAAGTGATGCCCAAGCGCCTCTTTCCCCATCATCCACTTTCGGTGCCATGGATCCGCGGTCAAATTCGCCAGGCAAAAGAGGCAGTTGATCCTGGCCACCAGGCAGTGCGCCGTCATAGGTGGGGGATGGGCACCAAAACATTCGGATGGGTTGCTGGAAGGAAGAAATGTGGGGTGCAACAGTTGTAGGGTGGTTTACAAAGTATTGGATAGTTCTTTTGAATGGACATGGGACTTATTGCATACATAGACATAGAGAACAAACCGCAGCCAACGGAAGCCATCGCCTGATTTCCTCTCTTTGGGTCTGCTTCAGGATTGTCAGAATGCCATCAGCCGCATTCATTTGCTGAAGCTCATGCCACATGATATCGCTACCTCAGACACCAAATCTTACATCTAATTGACCAGAGAGGAAGAAAATGGAAACTGCGGAGCAAAGGAGAGAAGCATCCGAACTGTATCATTATCGTATAGAAGGTCACTTCACTATGGGACATTAGGCATGTGAACACCCTGGTGGCGTCGATGATGTACCCTCATATGGGTGTATCGAAGATACATCTTTGCAAAACTGGGGGTCGTTTCAAACTTTCAAACCGTACCCCAATGCAATGAGTTCCCCACCATGCACCGGACAAACAGCTGGTACCCTTGGACCCTCTCAGCCCAAGTGACATGCAAAGTTGCCTAAGGCATTCAACACGTAGGCAATGACCTCAGCAGCAACTGAAGGCATCCTCGCCATATCTCGCCATTGATGTCACCCTATGTCACCCAAACAACAAATTTGTGGATGACCATGAGTGGATCATCGAATTAACGTCATGCAACAGCCAATGTTTCGACAATTTTAGTGGGTTTATTTTGGAGTCCCCAACTTTCATCCCAATATTCCTCCATTCGATTTCCCAGTTTCCGCACCTCTTGCACCTCCTCACTTTGAAGGATAGGCACCAGATGCCTACACACCATGATCAATGCAGGATGCTGGGTTTCAAAGAATGCGGTACCAAGATTCATGCTAAATTCTGAGTTCATTGGTATGACTTCGACAAAGCTGGATCCGGGTTTTTGGACTGCACAACATGTTGTGTTTTTCAATGTGTCTGTAATTTGGGGATGCGCGTCCGCGTAAAATCATGAATTGGGTTGCTTTGGGGAAGTGGATCAGGGCTTTGGACCTTCACAGAACCCGATCCAGCAGATGGTTCAGCTGGTGCTCAAGGTCAGCGTCTCGTCTCCAACTAGCACGCATCCGAAAAAAAAATAAAATAAATGAAGTCAGCTTCTGCCGCATGTTGCTGGCAAGCTGCTGCGCAAATGCGTCTGTGATTTGGCAACAGTCGCGAAAATCCAGACGCAACGAAGTCAGGTTCTCTGGCATCTTTCTGGCAAGCTGCTGCACAGCTGCGTCTGTGATTTCGTAGCAGGAGCTAAAATTCAATCTCAATGATGTCAGGTTCTGCGGCATGCTGCTGGCAAGGTGCTGCACAGCTGCGTCTGTGATTTGGTGGCAGGAGGAAAAGTCCAAGCTCAATGAAGTCAGGTTCTGCGGCATGCTGCTGGCAAGGTGCTGCACAGCTGCGTCTGTGATTTGGTGGCAGGAGGAAAAGTCCAAGCTCAATGAAGTCAGGTTCTGCGGCATGCTGCTGGCAAGCTGCTGCATAGCTGCGTCTGTGATTTGGCTGCAGGAGAAAAACTCCAAGCTCAATGAAGTCAGGTTCTGCGGCATGCTGCTGGCAAGCTGCACAGCTGCGCCTGTGATTTGGTTGCAGGAGAAAAAATCCAAGCTCAATGAAGCCAGGTTCTGCGGCATGTGTCTGGCAAGCTGCTGCACTGCTGCGTCTGTGATTTGGTGACAGAAGCCAAAATGCAAACTCAATGATGTCAGGTTCTGCGGCATGCTGCTGGCAAGCTGCTGCACAGCTGCGTCTGTGACTTGGTCAGAGACTGAAAAAGCCAAACTCAATGATGTCGGGTTCTGCGGCATGTGTCTGGCAAGCTGCTGCACAGCTGCGTCTGTGACTTGGTCAGAGACTGAAAAAGCCAGACTCAATGATGTCAGGTTCTGGGGCATGCTGCTGTCAAGCTGCTGCACAGCTGCGTCTGTGATTTGGTGGCAGGAGGAAAACTCCAAGCTCAATGAAGTCAGGTTCTGCGGCATGCTGCTGGCAAGCTGCTGCACAGCTGTGTCTGTGATTTGGTCGCAGGAGCTAAAATGCAAACTCAATGATGTCAGGTTCTGCGGCATGCTGCTGGCAAGCTGCTGCACAGCTGCGTCTGTGATTTGGTCGCAGTAGCTAAAATTCAAACTCAATGATGTCAGGTTCTGCGGCATGCTGCTGGCAAGCTGCTGCACATCGTCTGTGATTTTGTGGCAGTAGCTAAAATTCAAACTCAATGATGTCAGGTTCTGCGGCATGCTGCTGGCAAGCTGCTGCACAGCTGCGTCTGTGATTTGGCGGCTGGAGGAAAACTCCAAGCTCAATGAAGTCAGGTTCTGCGGCATGCTGCTGGCAAGCTGCTGCACAGCTGTGTCTGTGATTTTGTGACAGGAGCTAAAATGCAAACTCAATGATGTCAGGTTCTGGGGCATGCTGCTGTCAAGCTGCTGCACAGCTGCGTCTGTGATTTGGTGGCAGGAGGAAAACTCCAAGCTCAATGAAGTCAGGTTCTGCGGCATGCTGCTGGCAAGCTGCTGCACAGCTGTGTCTGTGATTTGGTCGCAGGAGCTAAAATGCAAACTCAATGATGTCAGGTTCTGCGGCATGCTGCTGGCAAGCTGCTGCACAGCTGCGTCTGTGATTTGGTCGCAGTAGCTAAAATTCAAACTCAATGATGTCAGGTTCTGCGGCATGCTGCTGGCAAGCTGCTGCACATCGTCTGTGATTTTGTGGCAGTAGCTAAAATTCAAACTCAATGATGTCAGGTTCTGCGGCATGCTGCTGGCAAGCTGCTGCACAGCTGCGTCTGTGATTTGGCGGCTGGAGGAAAACTCCAAGCTCAATGAAGTCAGGTTCTGCGGCATGCTGCTGGCAAGCTGCTGCACAGCTGTGTCTGTGATTTTGTGACAGGAGCTAAAATGCAAACTCAATGATGTCAGGTTCTGCGGCATGCTGCTGGCAAGCTGCTGCACAGCTGCGTCTGTGATTTGGTCGCAGGAGGAAAAAATCAAACTTAATGATGTCAGGTTCTGTGGCATGCTGCTGGCAAGCTGCTGCACAGCTGCGTCTGTGATTTGGTCGCAGTAGCTAAAATTCAAACTCAATGATGTCAGGTTCTGCGGGAGCTGCCGCAACAAAGTGCCTGCATACTCGCTACCTAGCTGCAATTCCAGTGTGTCCATGTCTGGCACTTGGCTCCATTTCATCAGCTGAAACAAGGGGGAGCCAAGCTGAGAGCCTCTGCCGCGAAGCTTCAAGATCCCTTCTTGCAAACTCAGGTGGACATCCCCCTCCTCAGGCGAGGAAACATCGTGAGTTCTGGGCAGAAGCTGTAAAATCTCATTTTGAAGAGACAAGTTCAGGTGCAGACAATTCGAAACCAACCCCTTTGCAGCTGCAACAAAGTCTCCAAATTCTTTCCCTATATCTCTTGGACTAGCTCCTGAGGTACCCATTGCAGCTATCAGGAAGGATGCAGCATGCAGGTACAGTAGGACAAACTTCGGAGCCAAGGGCGACTTCAGATCTTTCAACTCCAACTTTGCTGCTTCAAGGATTCTTTTGAGTTGCTTCTTGTAGTCACGGAACCACTCAGGAACACAATGCTGCCATGTCTGCAGCTGTGACTGGTAGTGGTTCACGAAGTCAATCAGAGTCTCCATGTCCAAAACATCTTTCCAATCATGCACCTGCCGAACACTATTCTTGACTTCTTGCACTGCTGCTTCCATCCCCTCAGCGAGTTTTGAAACGTCTTGGCGGAGAAGGGCGATGTCCACCTTCAGCTCTTGCTTCATTTGCATGGCCACACTGTGCACCGTGGACTCCCTTGCTTTGATATCAGTCATCAGATTCACACCGCGCAACGCGATGTGTGGCACCGCGCGGCCATCAACTGCATCTTGCAAGGTATGCAAGTACGACGTGGAACTACCTGTCATAGAATGAGGATTGCCACTAGGGGCCTGCGAACCCAGCGCATATCCCTCTACAACATGCTCGAAGCCCAAAGAGGATATAGGAACCCAAGGTACAGGATCATAGTCATTGGCAAAGCGAACAGTACAATGGTGCAATCCCAATTCCTGATACAGGGATTTGAATCCTCTTTGACCAACTCTGGGACTCCCAAAGGTCACAACACCCTCAATCTGCCATCCGCGCTGCTTGATGTCGACAGCAAACAATGTCGCCAAAGCAGCACCAAGGGAATGACCAGCGATGCGAAGCAAGGGCTCCTTCTCAGCAGTGTTCTCGAGCCATGAGATCACTGCCAAGTTGACCGCAAGGTAGGCATCTTGGAAGCCTTCCATCAAGGCCCAAACAGATTCACACAGAACAGAAATTATATACTTTCTTTGAGTGATCCCCATCAAGTGGCATTTTTTGACATATTTTCTGACATTCTTTCTGGCATTCTATCTGCTATATCTTCGAAGATTCTTTGTGGTCGAGGTCTGGCGGGAACACTGCGATCTAGCGCTTGCAGTTGAGGTCCGGCAGAGGAGAAGCAGAAGGACAAGGAGAGGGAGGAGGCGGGACAGCTGACATAAAATCTAGGGAAAAATGATGTCGAGATTTGGTGACACTTGGAATTACTGGTTGTTGTTTTATTTTTGCACACTATAGAGTAACTAATGTCTAATGTTTATAATTTATAACACATAGCTGGAAGGGCTTTGAAATCAAGTGACCTTTAGCATATTTAAAAGCTATTGAGTCCGGTTTGAAGCACCAAGCCTTTGTGCACTAACACCGTCAAGTTGTCACCATCCAAACCGTGCAAGGGTCCTGTGGCTGCATGTAGATTCGAAGACCAGTTCGCCCAACTCGTGTTTCCATAGGCGTCTTCCATCACTGTCCCGCGAAAACCAACTTCCAAAATGGAAGTTGTTGCGTCCTTTCGGCCGATGATGAATGTCTCTGTGGCTGGATTGTGGACAATGACTTCCCAAAGTCTACCTCCGAACTCTACATAGTCTTTGCCGTCTACATGATTGCAGCTAGTGCCTCTGTATGGGGCCCCGGCAAGCTGCCAAAACTCCCTGGCCATGCTTTTTTGGAATGGGCCCTGTATCACCCTTTGCTCGAAACTCAGGCCCTCCAACTGCTGGAGCTCCATGCGTTGCATGTCCACATTTTCACTCGGTCTTCCATAACCCCTTTGGGGAAAGAGGAGAGACGTGGTATCTTCACTCGCGCGGGCGATGGCAGCGAGTGCTTCTGCCGAAATTTCCGGCAATGCAGCATGTTGCCCCTGCTGCGGCTCTGCACAAGAAGAACTGCTACCTTCACTCGCCTGACCCATATTGTCTGGGCGATTCTCCATGGTGGTCTCAGTGGGTGGCTTTGCCCACTTTGCCTCAATCTTCATCTTCTCTGCGACATGTTCCAACGCTTGTTGGGCCATGACAGAGCAATATTTCTCTTGGAAGTCTTGCTTCTCAAGCTCTTTGTTGTGAACTGTTTTCCTTGCCTCTTCAAGTTCTTTTTGAAGCAACGCCTTTTCACTCTCAAGATTGGAAATCTTTTGAAGCATTTCGATCGAGAGAAATTCCTGCCGTTCATTTGCAACTGCCACGTCTGTGCTGCTTGTTCTCTCGACAAGTTGCTGCAGCATGTCCTTTCTCTCTGAGGAAAATGCAGCCATGACATCTTCTGCGGTGAGGGAATTGAGCTTCTTCAGCAAATCAACACATTCCTCCTCAGAATCGGCTTGGGCGACCTGAATGGGCGGATTCCCAGCCGTAATGATGGCATATTTGGCTGACGAAGTTCCCCCAAACCTCAACTTCCTCCAAAAGGCAGCATACACAGAGCGAAGCCCAACGAATGCACCGGAGGCATTGACTCGTTGCCACCCATCGGTGCTGCCATCGGCCCATTCCTTAAAATGATCCTTCGAAAGGAACGGCATGGCGGTGACCACTAAGGCGGTATTGAGTGCAAGGTTCTGCACTGCTTGTGGGGCAACATGGTTGGTTCACAGCTACATCATTGAGATGTGGATGATGTGGACCTACTGCCCATAAAATGTCACTTTGTCCAATCCATGTGATGCCGATGATGCCTCCTGCCCTGCACCTGGTAGTGGGACATCTTCTTGGACTGACATTCACTGAGACCAATTCGTGGTACAAACGGCTGCAATGTCGAAAGCGTTCAGTTCCCAAACATCCCAAGACAGCCCATCACATCCCCAACAACTGCTGTTAGCTAGACAAGGCAACCAAGGCAACCGTTGGAACCTGAGCACCTTTCCTCCGGCTGAATACTGGACAATTGAGGACATCCTGCTCGTGCCCTTTGAAGGTCAAGAAATGATTAATCATCAATAGTATTGATATGTATTGATGGTGAATCATCCCAAAAAAAAGTTCTTCAGATCAACTTCCAACCTTTTTTTGGAAAGCACCAAGCTGCCGTGCCTCAGCACTTCCTCTTCCAGCAACTGCGGATGCGTTGCCGCCGAAGTGCTCAAGTTGGCCACTGCCAAAGCAGCGTACATGCGACAGTCCTGTGGCCATGGGAGGATTTAATATGGTTTTAATGTAGAAATATCTAAGAAAAAAGCACAAATTGTCAAATTAGAATATAAGATCATATCAGTACAGCATACTAAAACTCATACAAATCATGTAACCTCTGTTCCTTTCATGGTTTGGTTGATGGTTAATAGTGAGGGCACCAACTGATTAACAAATTGGTGCAAAACCAACGTTCGATGGGACCATCAGGAAATTGCAAATGGATCCCAACGTCCATGGACTTTCACTGGATTCTAAGCATACACACACCTGACCAATCCAAGGCTTTTTTATGATTTGTTCAATGATTATGAACAAAACAATGAGAGCCCTACTAGCTATTTCCACCTATTTGTCATGTTCTTCCATTTAACTAGACTGTCTTAGGATTGTTGGATCCCAGATCATAGGACCCCTGCAGTGGAAGGACTGGCATTGCACTGCCGGGAGCGCCTATCCCCACCTGTCCTCATCTAGCGAAATGATCAGCGGGAGAATCGCTGTGCGCCATCCTCCTCTTTGAACTATTCGAACCTGACCATGCACTGACACTGCACCTTAAGTCAAACGAAATCGCAGAGTCCTTCCACAAATGTCGAATCGCTACATGTGCCTCTGACAACAACTAAAATCTGCCCAGAAAATTGAAAATTGCCCAGCGAAAGATACACTTGATATCATACGTCTCCAGCTACAGCAATCCACGCAACATGTGCTAATCATTTTGCCCACCGACTTGCCTGAAAGGCTCGGTTCGCACACAAACTCGCCAGTGTTTTGATGCCATGGCGCTTTTCCTGTGCACATGAAAGGGTTTGCGGGAGCCAGTGGGTATTTTGGCATGAAGGGAGGTGGTTGTCCCATGGTACGAGCAGTGAAAAAGTCCAGGATAGACAAAAACAACCACTGGTTCTGCTACTGCACATGATCCCTTCAGTACTGTGTCAACTCTAGAAGATCAGAAAAATCAACGGGGGCATCACAAAAACGCCAGCGCCACTGTTTCCCACGAGACTCTGCTTTTTGGCTCTGGCGATACGCCTGGATCTTTGAGGCAAATCCCGTACCATCTCACCACCTGACACCACGCTGACATCCAAAAATCTGAAGGAACCTACGTTGATTCCATTGGGTTGTAAGCCTCCATGCGCGCACATCTCTCTGTACCTGTGCCAAAGTGCCACAGAAACGTTAGAGGGTACTCCGTGTCCGCGAGAAGCCTCACTGTTTCGGTCCAAAGTTGGATGGGCCGCAAATCAAACTCCACGTTCTCCTGCAATTTGCCTGCTGCAAATGCCTGCAAGCGCTTCAGATCGATGCCCTGAACTTGCTGTTGATTCGATTGATTTGTAGGTAAAATCATCCAGGATCACAGACCAGCGTTACGTGGCTATCAAAAGCCCCAGGGCGAAGTTGAGCCGATTTGGGCACAGCAGCACTTACTAAAGAGCTACAACCAGCAAAGGCATCTCTTCCAATGATTCTCACAGACTCAGGGACCTCCACCGCAGTTAAGGAAGAGCATCCTTTGAAGGCTTCTGCTCCAATTTCAGTCATCTCATCCCCCAAAACCACCGACTTCAGAGAGCTGCAGGATCGAAAACAGCCACTGGCCACGCAGCGCAGGGAGCTCGGCACCTGAAAAGTTTCCAACCCGCTGCAGTCTGCGAAGGCCCTGGCGCCCAGGTGGGTCACTGAGGGAATCTGCAGCTGCAGTGAGCTGCAGCTCTGAAAGGCTCGGGCTTCGATGGAAGTCAACGAGCTGGGAAGGTCAACCTGAGGGAAGATGAACAGTTGTGACAGATTATGAGTTGGGCCATTGGGATGGCCATTGGGCCATGGCTTCATATATCCAGGTCTCTACTGTTCACTTAGATAACCCATATAAACCCCATAATATATGTTCAGACATATCCATATATTGTATGATATTCCGAGATATTCCATGATAATCCCCATTGAACCAAGCATTGAACCAACTAGTAGAAGCCGTACTTCAACATTTCGCCAACGTGAAAGTCAACTGGACATTGCTGGCCTGTTGCAAGGAGATGCAGCCCGCAAAGGCCCCCTCACCAATCGCAGCCACCGTGTCGGGGATGGTAACCCGCACCAAGTGCCTCGCATCAATGAAAGCCTCCAGAGGAATCACCGCCACACCGGGAATGGTCACAACCAGTAGGGATTCTTCATCACAGCCCGCTGCTTCTTTGCACAGGCACTCAACTGGCTTGATGATGAATGCCACTGTCACTGCTTTGTCTTCAGATATTCCTGCTTCCGCTAAGGTCTCATCATTATCCGTCAACCTCTGGTCATCCACCATCACCTCTACCAAGCTCATATTACAAGTCAGCTCATCTACACCCCTCTGCAAAGCCTTCAACTGCCTCTTGAATTCGCGGATCGTTGTGGCAGGCACTGCTTCAATCACTGCAACTTCCCCGCTGAGTTGCTGCACAGAAATCTTCAACGCCATGGCTGCTTGCGAGAGGCAATCCACATTGACTCAACATTGACATCAGCCCGGATTGTAATATGGAAGCTTGGGATGATTTCAGGGTGCAAAAATGGTCTCCAATTTTTCGGGCGTAGCAACTTTTACAGGTTTGATGCTCACGGCTGACGATGAAAAGAGCTGTGATTTGCTCCAAATGTTGCCTACTGACATCTACTGACCATCCAAAACTGGTCGGAAGAGAATCCAGAGATGGCTCAGCCCCAGCCGCCTGGGCTCATGCCTTGCATGAACCCAGAGTGAGAGTGGTGAGAGTGGAATGTTTCTCAGCTATCCAGCCGCTCCTGTAAGCATCCCTCGTTGAACCTTCCTACCCACAGCCTGCACAGCCTACCCACAGGTCCCAGGTGACCAGCGCCTTCACATTCTTCAGCACACGAAGGGCTTGGATCAATTCTCCATATGACCTACATCAGCCGGAGAACATGGAAGAAAGGTCTTTGTTCACACATGATCCGACACAATTCTGCCATAAAGTGTATAAAGTCATGATCCTGGACTTCTTGAAAACTAGTAACTACTTAGTAACTACTTCATCTACAATGACAGGCCATTCATCAAGTTCTGCTTTCTGCTTGCTGCTGGCGGATGTCATCCCTCAAAAGAGCCGAGCCCAGATTTTTCCACCAAGGCACGACATGGACCACGGCGACCGGCCCTAGCACCGGCACTTCAGCGCAGTTCCACGGAGCGTGCCACCACCTCGGGTCATCAAAGGTGGCTATGTCGGCTGTCCCAAGCTATGTCCCAAATCGGCTGCTTCCAAATGTCTTCCGTCGATTGGAAAAGTTCAGCAACGACAGTCGTTCTCGATTTGTGCTGTCATCCTTCTTTTACTTGACAAGCACGGACTGCATTTTCTAGGAATTCCACAAATCTTGACACTGTAAAAAGAGAGTCCCCTTGAAGAATCTCATAACAGCCATCCCGCAGCACAACCACCCCACCCTGTCCCAGCTGACTCAGGTCGCAACACTTCCACAGCCTATGCCATCAACAGCCCAAGCGGTCACACCCAAAGTGCGCCCGCGGGACCGCGACCACTGTTTCGCGGTCCGGACTACTTTCTGCTCTTGCGAGCCGAAAAAAAAACTGAAGTGCCCACACTTCATTGGGAGAGCTTGGTGATCAGGATGGAGAAGAGAGTCCTAGAAAAACTGTTAAGCAAATGATTCTAGGCTTGCCAGAGTTTTGGTGTAGAATGTCTTCGAACAACAGTTGCTTAGTCTCTGGTGACGTTGCACGCGATCTTATTGCCACGGCTGACAGAACTGTTCTGCAAAGCTGGCTGTATGATGCTGTATGAACATCTTACAAATCAGTAGTAAAACATCCAGTAGAAAACATACTCTTGATCATGTCTTGATCTTTAAGAATGCTGGAACCTTCCCATCCTTTCCGAAAGCAGTGACCACACTGGTTTTCTGCAACTCACATTCTTTGGTGAGCTGGACCGCTGGACCCGAGGTGAAACATCTTCGTCGATGTGTGTGGAAACAGCCCAGCCGCTTGTAGATGTTGTAGCAATGTTTGGTGGGATTCCAGCCCCTTCCGTGGTCCAAATATTCAGGACGTGGCGTTAAACTGATTTTGGAGTCTGTTCTGGCTGATCTTTGGAATCACCAGTGCGCAAGCCTATGGTACTCGTCTCGTAGTTAGTGATACTAATGACTATCCAGTGAACTATAGTAACTATCGATCCTGAGGTTTTGATTGGTTGCATCAAGTTGCATCCGGCTGGTCTATCCACTTTCGGCTTATTGCTGTTATCAGCTCACTGAGAACCTCAACTGCTGTACTGATAGGTCCTGGTGAGATCCAGGTGCTACGAGGTTCAGCCATGGTCGTTTTAGAAACGCAGAGAATACCCTCTGGTAAACTAACATAACTATGGAAAATCACCATTTTTTATGGGTAAATCCACTATAAATGGCCATTTTCAATAGCTATTTTGACATAACCAGAGGGTATGTTTGGTGAAGGTCACTTTGATGGGTCTCAGTGAAGGTCACTTTGAAATTAGTTCCACCCTATGACTTTTTTTCACCGCCCTCCAGGACATCTCAGCTGGTCCTCGGAATCCACCAGCAGAATGGTGGGCTCCTCCTGAAACTTTGGGATGCAAACCGCCAACACGTCCTGCACGAGCCAGTCACGTCGCTTCTGGGTCGAAAGGTCAAAATCGAAGATCTCAGAACTTCTCTGGTCCAAGATATTCAACAGTCAAGACCTCCAAAATCTCCAAAAGTGGTCACTTCTCTTGTTGAACCAACACCAAACAGCCCATTTGATGCTGACCCAATCGACAACTCTGTATACCCTCAGCCTCTCCTTTTGCCCTAGAGGCTCAGCGCTATCAAGCCCTGGAGCCAACTCCTCAGTCCCCACCGCAAAGGGGTCCACGTGTCATGATATCAGAAAGGTGTCAGATTGAACCAAGTCTGGTTATGAGAAAATGATATCCTTGGAATCCTTGGATCAAATGGAATCTCATCAAACGTGAGGCAAATCCTGTTGAAGGATTTGGTGTTCATGATTGAGCTGATTCGGACATTCGGAAGTCGGAACCCTGATTTCAAGGTCTATTCAACGGTCAAAATGTCCATAAATATCCATAAATATCCATAAATATCCATAAATATCCATAAATATCCATAAATATCCATAAATCACGGAATGGGCTTCCAAGGGATTTCACCATCTGGCAGCCTCCGAACCGCACCGCCGAGTCGCCCATCTTGCACCAGGGGAGTTCCCGGAAAAGAGCAGAACCTTCTGCGCCTCCAGGGCGGTTGCAGGCCCCCAAAATTGGATCCAAAAGAAAACCCATGATCAATCCTCAATTTTTACCCATTTTCCCAATGAACATGGCCATATTATCGGGATATGATATATATATATATATTGATATTGATATATCATATATCTTAGGATTTTCATGGATGTTCCGTGGATATGTCCCATTTCGGGACAAGGGTCCACATACGAGAGTAAGCCGTGCTGTTGCTTCTCCAACCACAGTTGTACTGCCTCAGGTCGTAATTTGATGCCGAAGGGGTCGTCTTGCCTGTGCCCATGGGGCCCATGGGGCCCATGAAATGCCCATTGGAAGATCCCCTATGAGTGGACGCATTACTGGCGAGATCATTCATAAATGCTGGATTTTCCATTGATTAACGGTTGATTAACGGTTGATTACCGCAGCTTACCATGGCAGCTCTTGTCAAACAGAAGATCGAAGACAAGGCTGGAGCCTCTCAGGTACGGCATCTGCCTGCAGTGTCAAACTCAGTGGGTGATCCCTGGATCCAAATGCCATGGGAGTTTCAAACTTCAGCAACCTTCCTGAACCTTCTCCAGTCTTACCACCTGAATGCTGGTCTTTAGGCCCAGTGACTGAGTGCTTCTAAGAAGAAGAACTGAACGGCTGTTGGCACTACGCGCTTCTCAAAAATGGTCTACTTCCAAATCTTTTTAGGCTACTCCCATGAAACCACTATGGTTGTGGGATTCCTTTCCGCAGCTGAATCCTTTTTGGTTGGGGCACCTTCATGAGAAGTTCCGGCCACAGCGGGGCCAAGTACTGCGACTGCCTTGGTCGTCGTGCTATCAAACACACCTTGGTCCAGTTTTCTCTAAATGATTTCGGGTAAATCAAAGAAGAATCCCCCATAAGCCAATACTGAACTAGTCATAACTAGTCTAACTACACTTGGTGCTTTGGAGTGGCAAACTGCCAATCTGAACCAGCTGCAAACCGTTGATTCAACAACCTATGAAAATGATGGGTTTTCACCGATCCAGAATTGGTTCAGCCCCTGACATCCCTGTTCCAACACTTCCTTCTTGAAACACATGTTTTTTCCCCTGCAACCTTGACAGTAAAACTTGGGCCACCGGCCAGCTTTGTAGCAACATATCCATATGACTCACCGGTGCGCCCTTTGGAGCATTCCCTCAGCAACGCAATCAGTGGATCCATCCATTTTTTGGCTAAATCTGTCAACCTCCATGAAATCAGTACCAGCAAATTGCCAAATTTCACAAGTCCTGCTTTCTTGGTGAAAGTTCATTCTGAAAAAGCGCCCATACTTTTTGAGGTACTTGTAAAGGGTGGATTGTCTCTGAGATGTGCATCACAGTTTCAAAACTGCATCAAGCGATTCCATAGTGAAGCGGCTGTATCCAAATAACCAATTTCGCTATTAATGGAGTTTCATATGGGTTTATATAATGTATTCCTATTAATGTGGAACCCCATGAAATCAATAGGAATCATGGGTCAACTCAACTTTCATGGGCTTCTCTTGGGTCCCAATGGCTCCACGAAAAAAACATCCCTTGGTCGCCAGACGCGATGCCAGCGCCAAGGGCTGACCAGAATGACCCACGACCTGCAATTGGAAAATGGCGCCTGAAAATTTAGGGGAAGAGCCCCACAATCCCTCCACATTTGATGGTTCATTTGATGGTTTATCATCATATTCCCCATTGAAAATGACCATTTGGATGGGTAAACCATGTTTACCCTATATTTTCAGACACGCCCAAATATGAATCTTACCGAGGTCTATCAGGATTCACCTGGCCCAATGAGCTCTGCCCGGCACTCGGCCTGCAGTCCTGCAATGCAATGGTCGCTGGGATTTCTCCGGAGCTCCAGATTGCCGGACCTGCGATGTCGGCAAAGCTTATACTAGTTGGTTGATAGGTTTCCCTACTATGGGTTATCATAATCCCCAGTAAACCAGGTAGGATTAAATCCCCTATAGCAATCAATTCACCAGGGTATTTTTAATGGCTCATCTTAGTTCCCAACTGTTCCCATCTGTACCCTGATCTTTCAAGACTAAGAAGGTCCACCCCAACCCTCGCCTGGTGCACCTTGGGAAGATGGCCCGGGGTATCGGCTCTTGGGGAAGAAATGTGGACACACCACAATCACCTGCCGACCAAATCTGGTCAAATCTGGCAATATCAATGGCAAAATCCTATTTTATTGCCGGGAAATGCTGGGAAAATATGGAAAAAAAATATATATAGGAGAATCATCTACAAGTGGAGGGATGTTCCGAAGCTTAGACTAGTGGACATTAGAGATTCCTAGAACTCGTCATGATCCCGATCGAGCCGAAGTTCAAATCCAACCAACCAACTGCAAGTCCATCCCTCTCATGGCTTTCAACTGATCAAGGATCAAAACTGGAAGCCCCCAAAATTCAAAACCCGTGAAGCAAAAAAATCAGAGATTCCAACTCGCCATTGGATCCCAACATGTCTGCACCACCAGCCTTCCCCACTTTGGATATGCAACCTCAGAGACATTGACAAGGGGATCTGGAACATCTGGAGTCAGGTCATCTATCCCTATGGGAACACACTCGAATCCCCAGATATTGTTAATGTTGTTAGTTAAATCCCACAGATTCATCAAAACTTCCCTATAATGATTCTATGATTCTTCACTAGACTAGAATCCCCTATTTCTTCTCGGTTTTCAAACTCCCCCATTCCCCCAGTGTGTCTCATTCAATCCAATCTAGATCATCGGACAAAATCATTGATCAATGATCCATTACTTTGATTTTTCCTTTGATTTTGCCAAGTTCTTGAGATGGACAACTTATAATCACTAGCTAATTTACAATCAACCCCAAGTGATTCCCCTTTTCCCCCAACAAATTCCCCACCGCACCCGAGTTCCCCCACGTCATTCCCTTCACCCCCAGCGGTGCCAGGAAGAGATCTGCCTCCTCCACCGCAACCGTCAGCTCCGTTGCGGCCAGCGAGCCGAAACCGCCGCGGCGCCGCTTGGGGCCACCTTGGGAAAGGATGGGCTACCTACTCATAAAAAATCATAAAAATGGTGACTTGGGGATGGTTTATGACTATTTATAACTATGGATATAATTACTATTAACCATTATCAACCATCATTAATCACTATTATCACTATTAATGATGGTTAATGATGGTTATATAATAGTGATTAATATATAATATTTGAGTCGTGCAGTTGTCATACCCTCTAAATATATGACATTGGGTGAGTCCCACATTTGTCTTGTTGGCGATATCTCGGGGAAAGAAATCCCACGCTTTGTTCAATTTATAGATGTGTAGGATGATTTTCCAACAGAAAAGGTTTTTATTGTAATAGGGGTCAATACTTTTGAGCTACAGTCAGTGATGGGAAATGTTCTGGAAGGATATGGCAACTATATCAACATGGAAAAATATGGAAAATATCAATCTCTACACATGTTAGATTTAATCAAGTGTACTGACTTCTTCGACATCTATGATACATGGGTGAAGAGTGGAAAGAAATATCGAAGTCCAAGACTCTTTCGAAACGTCTGGAAATTGTGATCGAGCAGGTGATCCCCCCCTTTTCCGCAGCGGGATTTGGTGCCGTTGTTTCAGGTGAACCGACTCAAATCTACGACATTGGCCAAGAACTTGACGCGGCAGGACAATGGATCGAGAAAACATGGAGATCATGGTGAAAGTTGTGAACTCCACTTTAAAAAATGAGAGTTACCTCCTTTCAATAGATCATCATTACATGTTTTTTTCTTTGGTAAAGCAAAGATCTCACCAGCTTTTGCTGCCGACTTCGGTGTCGCGGTGATTTGTTTCAGCTACACCAGGGCTGCTTGTTCCGCACCCAGGCCGTTTCCATCCACGTAGAGCTTGAACTGCACCTGGAATCGGCCCAAGCTGGGGACGGAAGTGATGGAGGTTGGATCCAACCTTTACACTTTATATATATATATACATATATATATATGTATAGTCATCCCAAATAGATGGAAAAGTAAATCACCATGAAATTAGTAGGGATTTACTTTTCCATCTATTTGGGGATGACTATATACATAAATTCAAATACTGGGCTTGAATTTTTGATGCCGCTAAGCTCATCAGGTCATTTGGAGATTCTCCGGGATGTTTGTCCAACTCAAGGATTGCTGAAATGGGGATGACAACAAAAATTGGGGAACCCCAAAACCAACTGTGGCTTTGGGGGCCCTCATATTGTGTGTGTGTGTGTGTCGGGTACAACCCCTGATTTCCGGTGATATGGCACCATGAAGCTCCCTCATATCATGGAATGTCCATGAGCTTTTTCACCCCAGCACATGAGTTTGTTAGTGAAAAACAAACAAGCATGTTTCACACATCTCATGATAACAATTCTGTATCCATCCTGTATGCAGCTTGAGCTCAAAGTACCATCACACACCTCTGCAGTGCGAATATCTCCAAAATACAATGCAGAAATACGAGTCATTTAAAGCAAGACTTTGTTTGAGATCAAATAAAAGTCAGCTGGGTACAGCTCAAGAACACGGTACCAAACGGACTCAGAAAATCAGTCCTTCTTTAGTAACGATATTTAACGATCCACTTTTAGGGGTGCAATTTCATTGAGCCATACCCCGCTTTTGAGGTGGGCCTTTTGTCCCTCAGCAACGGTTTCGGGAGTTCCTTCGATGTCTTTCCTCGGGTTGACGAGGTTCAGGCAATTGATTGTGGGTCAGCCATCAGAAACCAAACTCACAGACTTCATCACCGAAACAAGATGCACAAAATAGGCACTAGGATGCAACTGGATTTGAACCGCCTGGAGCAAAGATGTTCTCTCTGTCAGTGTGTTCCAAATCGATCCCCCAATCCCAGTTGCTTGTTGATATAGATCTTGCCCCCACGCATGGCTTTCGCATCATGCTCCTTGGGGGGAAATGGCACCAATGGCACCATTAGCAGCTGGCGAGCCCCAACTCATGGGTAAAAAAAACTCGGCCAGGGCACAATGGGATGATCCGTCTTCATCCAGCCATAATGTCCTCAACTGGCGAACCAAAGCATAGGAAACAATGAGCCAAAAACCCTTGAAAAACTATGTCGCCGAGTCTTCAAAATCTGAACTAGAGTTTTATTTGGGGTGCGACACAAACTCATACCTGCACAGCAACATGGGATCTCCTGGTGATACATGGCGATGCATCAAAATTGTCAACCCTCACCCTAAATACCGATCGAATTTGCGTAGGTCCATTGATAGTACCTTAACGACTTGACCAAAAATGCATCTATTTCTGATACATCGAAATGCAATGCTTTCAAACCTCCTTTGCCCCATCTTTTACTGGCCATCAATGGCTGGTATATATAATCTATATGTATATGCTATATATGATATATATGATATTTATATATATATATTCTATATATATATGATACTACATATATATACTATACTATATATATATATATAAATACTACATATATATACTATATATATACTATATATATAGTATCATATATATATACTATATATACTATATATATATCCCATTAAATCCCTCTATATTTTGAGTCCCAGAGTGGTCAACTTGAAAGACTTGGGTCCTTTCCATTCGATCATCTCGCCGATGATGGGTTCCTCGATGATGATCTCCCGCTCATCACTCCAACCACCCCACCAGTTGTCTCGGCTACGGTGGGATTGGAAAAATGTCTGGCCGATTGGCAGACAACAAAGGATGATTTTCGATAATTTCCATTCATGTTCATGTTTATGGTAAGTCCTTTAAAGATTCTGCATCATCTTCGGCTTCCCGAATAGGGAGAGAGAGAGAGAGAGAGAGCCATTGGATGGCTACAGTGGGGGTGTCCCAGAGGTGATCCGAGAGGCCAGGATGAATGGAGGATTCTACCGTATTCAGCACTGATTAAAACAAAACGTGTGTAACTCAGTAATGATCGTCATGATATGTCATGATATGTCATGATATGTCATGATATGTCATGGTTATATGATGACCATGATGATCATAGTGTGCACATTGCTTCCAATAGATAATAATTGTCGTAATGATGATGCATTGTCAACAACGACGATAATTAGCGCGTGATTTGGATGCGGGCGGCTGGATGATGGAGCATGGACCCCATGGACCCTTGGCTACTCATGCTACTTCCCCCAAGAAGTCGACCCCCAATCCAAGTAGCTCATCATCTCCCACATCATTTGCATGTTCCAATAGTTGCCTTTTCCTTTGCCTTTCCCTGACCAGAGCTTGAGCTTTCTCAAGGGCTGGATCTATCTGAAGTGGGATAAGAGTCTGCATCCCGAACCGCCATCCCATATCGCCCATAACTTCACTCGTATTGTCAAAGCCAAGGAAAAACATAGTGCTGGAAGCGAACCGGCAAATCCATTTTGCACCAGTGGTCAAGATGTTCTAAGTCAACAAACTCAAAGTACTTCAATGCAGCTTCCACTTCTACAGTCGCCATTGGACGTCAAAATTGGTGGGCGGTGCCAGCCATCTGTTGCGAATGCTTCCAGGACTGCAAGTGTGTATATAGTCTATTAAAAAAAGAGGAAAACGCACCAACAAGCAAGAATGGACGCAATATGCCCTTGCAAGAGACTGTCTACAACTCTAGTCAGACAGGGCTCAAGAGATGACATGCATTGATCAGGTGAGGTATGTCCAAGTTCCAAAAATCAAGGCCCTTTCAAACTACTGTATCTCTACCGTCTCTACCGTGCAGTGTCCTTTTGAGCTGGCCGCGAGCTCTTGCAGTTGTGGATCGTCTCGGTGGAGCTGAAAATCGGATATCGGAGATCACTGGAGATCACTGGATATCACTGGATATCACTGGATGTCCATGTCATAACCGTCATAACCAGAACCAAACCAGAACCAAACCTGTCCACTTCACTGGCCAACAAATGCGGATCTCCAAAAATTGGAACCCAATGACCCAGAAAACATCCACGCTTTACCCCAACATGGTCAACATACACCAACAACATAACCATTCATTTTCTAGGGGTAACCTGGCAAATCTTCCATTTTCGCCAGATGAGCTGAGAATCCTTTGATGTCCTTCAAGGCAATTTCCGCCGCGCTCTGCTCGGCCTATCATTGGGGTGAAATCGGTCAAAGATTGAGATTTCAAAAAGAATAAAATGGGGTCAATCCAAATACCAAAGAAATATCATATATTAATAATATAATAATACAACTATGATGTTTTAAACCATGGGATGCCAAGTAGCACTTGCAGTAGTTTAAACAGAAAGCCAATACTGCGCAGTGGAATTCGTTTGGCGCCTTCTGTTTGTTGGCGCAAAGATGACCAGCCCATGCTCGCTGACCCCATTCATCAGGCAAGCAGGTGATTTGCACCTCAGCCATTCTCAAAATGATGGCATGGCTTGATTGATCTTGATTGATCGTGAAAGCAGTTGAAATGTGCAGATGGCCAGCGAAAACACGCACACCAATCTCGATTTCAAAAATTAACCCCCCAAGACTCCAGCTTCGTCAAATATGTTGGTGGGGCATCAATGCCGAGGCGCAGTAGATTGATACTGTGAAGCGATTCTGTTGCAAATGTAGATCTGAAGCGTGGACGAATGAGGTCGGTGAACCCACCATTCACGGTCTAAGTTTGGGTAGGTCTAGTACCACTTCATGGGCTTGGGCGTTGTGACACGACGCGTAGACACAACGTGTTAGACTGTGGTGTCTACAGCAACGCGATTCCTTGCAGGAAGGCGACATTCACATTTTGAGGCAGTCCATACACTTCATCAATCCGTCGTTTTTGTCAAACTGAGGGCCCTGGGTGCCGGGGCCCTGACTGTCTCTCCTTTCTTCATATATCTGCCAATGATTCGCCTCAGAACGGTGAAGAGAAAAACTCGGCTCCTCGCTGCGGAGAGAGGCCCTGAGCTCGGCTCATACAGAGGCTGTTCAGCTCAGTCTTGGGAGTAATGGCTGGATTCTCCGCTGGGTCCTTGGTGGGAAAAGCCCCTGGTGAGCTGTGGCGCGCTCATTCGCTGGCTTGAACCTATGTGAACCTATGGATCTGAGAGAAAATTGTAGCTGTTGACTGTTGACCCAGTCCCATGTCCCTTGGCCAAATGATGGCGCCGTCGTTTCCGCAGCAAAGTCTCCACTCTCGCTTTCTTGGCTCGTTCCTGTCATCCCACGGGACGTCTATCATTGATGGCTACCCAATCTGCCAGCGCCAAAGAGGAACGGTCAAAATCTAGTATTAAGATGAACAATCATTAAACATGAACCATGATGAACCATGATGAACCATGATTTTCACCATGATGAACCATGATTTTCACCATGATGAACCATGATTTTCACCATGATGAACCATGATTTTCACCATGATGAACCATTGTCAACCATTAACCATCAATGAAATAAACCATCAATGAAGTTGCTCAACTTCACACTGAAGTTTCTCTGTTCCCTGTGCCTCCGGGGATAACATCATGCCCGACGGTCTTTTGGTGGGCACTTCCCGTTTCTGAGCCTCAGCCATGGGAGGCCACCGAAAGCCATGGGAATTTCCACACCATTTCCATCGCCGGAGGTCAGTTTTCAGCTGCTATGAGCTGCCATAGTTTGGTCAGTCACTTGCGATTTGCAGCTTCGCGACTTAAGCTAACCCACCGATCCCACCGGCCTCCACCAAATCACTGTTGGCTAAAAGGGCTTGCTGCGCAGCAGACTTCTCAGCGACCTTTCGCAACGCTGCTGCTGGGGGGTATGAAATCATTGTCCTGGTGATTGAACTAGCAATAATATCCAAAAATGGGGAGCAATGGTTTGATTTGATTTCTATGATTTATGATGATTTCTGTTTGCCATTTACAAACATGGGGATCCACAGCTCCATGTATTTTATGGGGAATTAGCTTTGTTCTGGGCCGCCACTTTGGATCATCCCACGTAATAGATCCTGGTGTGTACCGAACCATAAACTCAGCTTGGGATTCATTGTTTAGCACATGACATTAGAGAAAACGGTGAGAGAATGATGATAAAACATGATTAAAGTATAAATACAAATCATAAACCATAATACACAATGATAAACCATGATGAAGAATGGCATGGAACGAAGTTCCAAATTCTGAGATAACCCCTGAACATTATGGGTAATTCCGCATCAGCAGCGGGGGGATTTCCAAACAAGCAAGATTAGACTGCCAGAGGGTATATAATGTAATAGGCAACAATGACTACAATTGCAGGAAAGATATGAACAAAATTCAACTTATAAGATGAAAGCAACCAAAACTGAGATGGTATTCAAAAACAGCTGTGTCCCATCCCGATTGCGATTCCAAGAACTGGCGCCTTGGGGTCATCGCAAAGATGCCCGGCATATTCCTGCTTATCCATGCAGTGCAAGGTCACGATGGCCTGTTTTTTTCAGAGGCAGAACCGAATCTCATCGAATCCTTCCACTGTCTGACCCAAAACAATCCACGGGGAAAATGACAATCAACCGATCAGCCATCGAAAATGGAGGTCGCTGATTTTTAAACATCCTCAAGAATGGGTCCACACATTGGCCACAGCAAGTGCCTGATATTGCATCCCATATTTACCTCGGTCCGAGGGAAGCTTGGTATCCTTCTGATCACACCAACATTGTAACATAGCTGATAAATGGGGGGTCATCCCAAAAAAAAATATGGTATATCATGGTGTGATAGGTTTTGATCAATCCCCACTTTGAAGTTTTGAGTGGCTATAGGTTTTGCTAAGTTCCCACCAGGACACTGGTCTTGTATTCAATGTCTGTCTTGGTCAGCGGTCTCTTGCAATACCTGGGCTGCACATTGGATCACATTGGTACCGTTCCTTTCAAAACCTAGCAGGGAATCCACCATTTTGTGAAATCCCTTGAATCCTGTAGAAGCCGGGCTGGAGAAGCCACCCCGAAAACAAAGGATTCACCCTTATTCACCCGAAAATGGAACGAATCGGGATCCTTGCTCAGGAACCATGTAACAATCAAGCGTAGTGACATCCCACGCGTAGAGGTACCGAACAGCCATTGCATCAGGTCTTGCATCAGGCACAGGACGTCAGGAGAACACTTTCAGCCAGGGGCATTGCCAGTAGAAAATCCTACAAATCCTACCCGAACACATTCGCTCAGACTATGAATGTATGATGATCAGCCACAACAGTGATCAACAGGTCTCAAGTAATCTCAAATAATTCATGTCCCTTCATTGACCACAAGAAGATCCCATGGCACGGCAGGCCATGGCACTTCTGCAAAAATGAGTTCAGTTCGTTCTTGGACTCTGCAATCATCGCATTCATGGCAGCCGCACCACGCCGCCGTGCTGCTTGTATTGATGACTCCAAAACTGAGCTATGGTTTGGGGTGCACAAAAAGGTCTCAACTTTCCCTAACAGACGAGACACAAGGCTAGATGAACGCTACAAATCCTCTAAGTCCTGTAAGTTGGAGAGACTTAGTTACTTGATGTTACTTGGTTGGTAGAAAGTCACACCACTATGTGAAATTCATCCTTGCCTGTTTCCCTTCTATTGTTTTCTTTTAGCATGTCCGCACTGTAAAGAGCTGCGGCCGTGTGATCCCGCGAAAAGATGCGAAAAGTATCTGTCAGTTCGAGTCAGTTCAATAGTTCTTACCAATAGTGCCCATAGCCCCCAGATTTTTTCTGCACATCCATTTAGTGGTTCCAGGTGGTAAGTTTTAGCCGTACACATGTCCAGCTGTTCCACCTGTCGATTTTTTTTAAGCCTATCCCAATCACATCCAATAACCCATCAATCGGCCATAAATCCCATGTCATCCCATGAAATCCCATGGAATCCCCTGGTGAAATCCCCCAAAAAATCACCAAACTCACTGCAAAACACTAAGCTGCTTAGTCCACAACGGCCGCTGATTTCGGCCACTTCATCAGCGTGGAGACCTGGAAAAAAACGAGCGACCCCTCGGGAAAACAAAAAACAAATACAACGGGGGATACGACAGGGATATATGTATATGTATATGTATATATATATACACATGTGTATGTATAAGATCTGGGACGCATTTCCAAAAAAACAATTCATACAGGGATATATGAATTGTTTTTTGGAAATGCGTCCCAGATCTTATACATATACATGTGTATATATATATATACATATTTGCAACCCCCCCTGATAACGAGAAATCACTGCGTTTTTGAGCACACACTTATAAGCACAATCGATTGTAAAGTTACACCACATACAGATGCTAGACCAGATGTGTGAACATGCCCTTGCGAGGCTAAGAGGCTAGAAGATGTGATGACAGTAGGATGTGACAGCCAAGAGCACTGATCCCTTTCTAACATTGTGGCAAAGGAGGTTTGCTGGAAGAAGTGTGTGTGGCAGCATCCATGGAAGAACAGTGTGGCAGCAGAAGATAGATGACTAACTTTTGGCAAAGCAGACAGCACAGTGTAAAAAACAAGTCAGTCGTCACAAGCAGCAGAAGGGGTTTGTTTTCAGCGCTGGGCCGCCCGGGAGTCTCCGAGTCTTCCTTGGTATTCAGCAATATCCAAGAATATTGCTCGTTGTGATGGTCACTTTCAGGCGCATTGTGAGACAGCGTTTTAACCGTTACTATTTTTGGGGTTTTAACCGTTACTGGCTTTGGTTCTTAACCATGACTGTTGGATGCCTTAACCATGACTGTTGGGGTGCCTTAACCCCGACTATGGGGTTTTTCCATCCGTCCCAACCAGTGCTTCTTTTTTTGTCCACTCGTCCGTTGTAGCCATCTCTGCCAGGTCCTGGAAAGGACTCGGTTTTTGGAGGTTTTGGGTGCAAAAAGGTTAAAAAACCGGGTTCTTTTTGGGGCCTAGATTGAGGAAGTAGAGGTTTTTTTCGTATGGAAGGAAAACACAATGGACAAGCTAATGCATTGAGCTAGGCAATGGCGGAAGTGTCTCAACTAACACAACTCATCCCACACAAACTCATCTCACACAAACTCATCTCACACAACTCATCTCACACACAAACTCATCTCACACATCTCAACCCACTCAACTCATCTGACTCAACTCATCTCACACACCTCAACCGACTCAACTCATCTCACACAACTCATTTCACACAAACTCATCTCACACAACTCATCTCACACAAATCATCTCACACAAACTCAGCTCACACAACTCATCTCACACAACTCATCTCACACAAACTCATCTCACACCTCAACCCACTCAACTCACCTGACTCAACTCATTTCACACACCTCAACCCACTCAACTCATCTCACACAAATCATCTCACACCAACTCAGCTCACAGGAACTCATTTCACACAACTCATCTCACACCTCAACCCACTCAACTCATCTCAAACAACTCATCTCACACATACTCATCTCACACCTCAACCCACTCAACTCATCTGACTCAACTCATCTCACACACCTCAACCCACACAACTCATCTCACACAACTCATCTCCCACAAACTCAGCTCACACAACTCATCTCACACATACTCATCTCACACCTCAACCCACTCAACTCATCTGACTCAACTCATCTCACACACCTCAACCCACTCAACTCATCTCACACAACTCATCTCACACAAACTCATCTCACACAACTCATCTCACACAAATCATCTCACACAAACTCATCTCACACAAACTCATCTCACACAACTCATCTCACACAAATCATCTCACACCTCAACCCACTCAACTCATCTCACACAACTCATCTCACACAACTCATCTCACACAACTCATCTCACACATACTCATCTCACACAACTCATCCCACACAAACTCATCTCACACAAACTCATCTCACACAACTCATCTCACACAAACTCATCTCACACATCTCAACCCACTCAACTCATCTGACTCAACTCATCTCACACACCTCAACCGACTCAACTCATCTCACACAACTCATCTCACACAAACTCATCTCACACAACTCATATCACACAAATCATCTCACACAAACTCAGCTCACACAACTCATCTCACACAACTCATCTCACACAAACTCATCTCACACCTCAACCCACTCAACTCACCTGACTCAACTCATTTCACACACCTCAACCCACTCAACTCATCTCACACAAATCATCTCACACCAACTCAGCTCACAGGAACTCATTTCACACAACTCATCTCACACCTCAACCCACTCAACTCATCTCAAACAACTCATCTCACACATACTCATCTCACACCTCAACCCACTCAACTCATCTGACTCAACTCATCTCACACACCTCAACCCACACAACTCATCTCACACAACTCATCTCCCACAAACTCAGCTCACACAACTCATCTCACACATACTCATCTCACACCTCAACCCACTCAACTCATCTGACTCAACTCATCTCACACACCTCAACCCACTCAACTCATCTCACACAACTCATCTCACACAAACTCATCTCACACAACTCATCTCACACAAATCATCTCACACAAACTCATCTCACACAAACTCATCTCACACAACTCATCTCACACAAATCATCTCACACCTCCCCACTCAACCTCATCTCACTCACAACTCATCTCACACAACTCATCTCACACAACTCATCTCACACATACTCATCTCACACAACTCATCCCACACAAACTCATCTCACACAAACTCATCTCACACAACTCATCTCACACAAACTCATCTCACACACCTCAACCCACTCAACTCATCTGACTCAACTCATCTCACACACCTCAACCGACTCAACTCATCTCACACAACTCATCTCACACAAACTCATCTCACACAACTCATCTCACACAAATCATCTCACACAAACTCAGCTCACACAACTCATCTCACACAACTCATCTCACACCTCAACCCACCCAACTCACCTGACTCAACTCATTTCACACACCTCAACCCACTCAACTCATCTCACACAAATCATCTCACACCAACTCAGCTCACAGGACCTCATTTCACACAACTCATCTCACACCTCAACCCACTCAACTCATCTCAAACAACTCATCTCACACATACTCATCTCACACCTCAACCCACTCAACTCATCTGACTCAACTCATCTCACACACCTCAACCCACACAACTCATCTCACACAACTCATCTCCCACAAACTCAGCTCACACAACTCATCTCACACATACTCATCTAAACCCACTCAACTCATCTGACTCAACTCATCTCACACACCTCAACCGACTCAACTCATCTCACACAACTCATCTCACACAAACTCATCTCACACAACTCATCTCACACAAATCATCTCACACAAACTCATCTCACACAAACTCATCTTACACAACTCATCTCACACAAATCATCTCACACCTCAACCCACTCAACTCATCTCACACAACTCATCTCACACAACTCATCTCACACAACTCATCTCACACAAACTCATCTCACACAACTCATCCCACACAAACTCATCTCACACAAACTCATCTCACACAACTCATCTCACACAAACTCATCTCACACATCTCAACCCACTCAACTCATCTGACTCAACTCATCTCACACACCTCAACCGACTCAACTCATCTCACA